GTGTTTGCTGACCTTTATTCTTTATTTCTTTTTGCATGCTATTAAATATTTTCATTAATTCTTTTTCATCAATGTATTCGAATACTATATCTTTAGTAGATAATGCTACTTTATTGAGATTATTTTTGTTTAATACTTTTGTGAGCGTATCCAGGACTGATTCTAAAATCAAGTTGGGCTTATTGCTACACTGTACTTTAACAATGTTTTTCTCAATTTTTATAATTGGCAAACTTTTCTTATCCTTTTCTTTATTGAGCTCAAATTTTAATATAGGTAATCTTCTAATATCAGAAATCGAAATACAATTCCACATGTAGAGTTGGCCATTCCCTGAGTAATTTGTACTCTGATTCTGTTTGATTACGTTTTCTTCTTTATTCATTTCATTATTCGTTTTACTTCTGGTCACAATATTAACATTTTTCGGAATCATTTCTTTAAGTGTATCCGAATCCATTCTGATTCTGGATAATGCATCAGTATTTGTATTCATTTTTCCTTGCTTGAAAATTATGTTAAAATCATAATCCATTAGATCTACTCTTATTCTTGTTAACTTTGACGAAGGGTTTTTGTGTGAAAATAGTGATACTAAAGGTCTGTGGTCTGTTACTACTGTAAACTTTCTTCCATATAAATATGGTCTAAAATGGTTAATTCCCCAGTGTATTGCTAAAAGTTCTTTTTCTATAATCGGTTTATTTAACTCGTGTTTATTAAGAGAACGGCTGGCATACGATATTGGTAGATCGTTTCCAATGTCTCCTTGGGATAAAACTGCTCCTAACGCATAATTTGATGCGTCTGTAGTGAGTATAAATTCTTTAGTAAAATCTGGGTACTGTAGTATTGGAGGACTTACTATTGACATTCTTAATTTATCAAATGCTAATTTACAATCTTCGGACCAAATGAATTGTATATTTTTTTTTAAAAGTTCATTTAATGGTTTTGCAATTTTTGCAAAGTCTTTTACAAATCTTCTATAGTAATTGCAAAATGCTACGAATCGTCTAACTTCATCGGCATTTGCTGGTATTGGGTATTCATTTACTGCTTTACATTTATTTGGATCTGCAGTTACACCTTCTTTAGTGATTAAATGTCCTAAGTAAATTACTTCGGGTTTCACAAAATTGCATTTCTTTGGGTTTAATTTTAAATTGTAGCTTCTTAAGCGTTCAAAAACTTTGATTAGATTGGAGTTGTGATGTTGCAAAGAACAACCAAATATAATGATATCATCTACGTATAAAAATGCACTAGAGTCTAAACCTGAGAGTGCTATTGTAAGCATTCTTTGAAAACTATTGGAGGATATTTTCAAACCGAAAGGTAATCTTTTGAATTGATAATGTCCATTACTAGTGGAAAATGCTGTTAATGGTCTAGAGTCTTTTTCTAATTCTATTTGATGGAACGAACTTGTCATATCCAATGTAGAAAAGTATTTAGCTCTTCCTATCCTATCTAGTACGTCTTCTAATTGTGTAAGTGGAAATTTATCACTAACTAATTTTTTATTGAGTTGTCTGTAGTCTACTACAAGTCTCCATTGTTTTTTATCATCAGTACTATGCTTTGGTACAACTAAAAGTGCAGAGTTATATGGACTTGTGGATGGTTCAATAACATTTGTTTTTAATAAATCTTTTACTTGATCGTTTATTTCTTGCTGTTGGGATTGTGGAAGTCTATAATTCTTTATATAAACAGGAGAGTTATCAATAGTTTGTAAATGTTGTTTGTAGAAATTATTGGTAGTTAATTTGTCTCCTTCAATATGGAATATATCTTGAAAATTCTTGCAAATTTCTTCTATGGATTTGCATGCATTACTGTCTTCATTATCTAATTTAAGTAAGTTTTTAAGTTTATTCCAACGTTCATTGGAATGTTTGAGTTTATTGTTTGAGATTATATTGAAATGTCTTAAAGGTATTATTTCTAAATCCGATTTTGAAAATTTTTCAATGATTTTTTCTTTATTAGAGATATTTAAGATTCTTATGTGTTTTATTCCATGTTGTGGAATTATTGTATTTGCGATAAATACATCTTTTATTATTTCTTTATTGCAAATAATACTATCTTCTGGAATTTCTATTTTAATTGAATGAATTATCTCTGATCTAGGTGGTATTGTGATTCTAAAGATTTTGTTTAATATTGGTAAAATGTATTCGGTTTTATTCGTATTTATTGAAAAAGTGTAAGTTTCGTAATCAATTTTTGAAAAATATTTATTGAAAAAGTCACGTCCTAGAATGCCATCAGTAGGTATTGGAAATTCGTCACCTACTACTTGAAATTTATGCTTTAAGCAATCGTTCACTATTTTAAAATTTAAATTTGTAGTACCTAATGTTGTAATTGGACTGTCAGTTATTCCCGTGAGTTTACATAATTGTTCGCCTGCAATGTCTTCGTCATTTGTACAATGTTTTTTACATATTGACACATCTGCGCCAGTATCTAACAAGAATTTTAATTTTTTATTTAAAGTCTGTAGTATAATATAATTGGGTATTGATTCTCCATTCTCATTTATTGTTGTTGTCCCCGCGTAGCCTATTCTGTAGTTTCTCTGTTGGTACCGGGGTTGTACTCGTTTCCCTGTTCCCTGTTCATGACACGTATCCTATTATTTCTTGTGTCTGTTCCTCTATTATTCTGTTGTCTGCCATTATTTGACCATTGGTGGTTATTAAATCGTTGATAATTATTTGATCGCTGGTAATTATTCGATCGTTGTTGTCCAAATTGTTGGTGATTGTTATTTTGGGGTTGACTAGTTCTAATTGAACTGGTTTGTTGATTATTTCCATTTCTTTGATTCCTGTTTTGGTTGCTTCTATAATTGTTTCTATTCTGGTTAGACCGTTGATTATTTTGCCATCTTGTGTTTTGATTATGTGAACGGTAGTGCATCAGACTGTGTTGTTGTGGATTATCGATGCTTGATGCTAATTTAACTGCGTCAATTAATTTTGTTGGTTGTGCTGCAATTACCACGGATCTAAATGGTTCTGATAAGCCATTTTTAAAAGTGTTTAATCCAGTTTCATCATTTATGGATAATATAACTGCTCTGTTCTGTTCTCCTCGTTCAGTTATCTGAATATCATTTAGAGTTGCTATCAGGGATTCTATTTTGGAAGCATATGAGTTTATGCTCATATTACCTTGGTATAATCTTGAAAGTTCACCTTGAATATGTGCTGTATTTTTCTTTGGTTTATATGCGTCATGTAATATTTGTTTCAACGCTATAAGTGTGGATGGGTTTACAACAGTTAAAATTCTGTTTTTAACTTTCTCAGTTATTCGGGTTGCTAGGACAAATTTAATCAAGGATTCTCTATCGACTCCTTCTTTAAGGGTGTCATGATAAAATTCTATCATGCCAAGAAAAGTAGATAGTGATTGTTGTTCACCACTGAATTGGGGTATTATTTTTGAAGCTGTCGAAATATCAAAACTAGCCATGTCTGCTTTTTGTTTGAGATATTTTTCAATATTATTTTTTAGATTACTAAATGCTTTTTTATAAGTTTCTAAATCAGATTCTTTTATTAGAGGTAAATATTTTAACCAGATATTTTCTAATTCTTCCTTTGTTTTCTCTATAAATTCCCTAGAATATAACCTATTGGGGTTTTTCTTAAGCTTTTCTAATATTTGTTTAGCTTCAGTGAATTCCATATATATTTTTATTTATAGTTCATAAAGTAAAAATTTTTGAAGTACATTCTCTTATGTTTATGACCTTCTAGTCTTATTAGTGAATAAAATATAATTAGATTTATTACCATTTTGGTTGAAATTGTTATATATGTTTTAGTGTACATTAAATAAAATTACTTATTATATATTTTTTTTTTTAAAGATTTTTAATTAATCGATTTACATAATTAATTAATTTAATGTGTTTTCTATCTAAATGTCTGCTTAATCTTCTACTTGTTTGGTAACTTTTACCACAAACAAAACAATTAAAGTTATTCATATTTATAAAAAAAAAATTTTTTTTTAAAAACATATATATATTTTTTTTTTTTTATTAAGCAAATTTAAACCATGTTATTGCTTAAAATAACATGTCTTTTGACATATTTTTTATAATGATTGTTTACTTTGGATAGTACTAAATACAACAATAAAATACATATAAAATACAAAATTGTTTTAGAATCAGCTAACTCGTTGCTGCTGTTATTACTGTTGTTATTGTTGTTGTTGTTGGTGTTGTTTATCACCTCTTCCTTGGTGGGTTGACTGCCCATTCCTTGTCTCTCTTATTTTTCTTTTTATTGACAGTTGGTCTTCTGACGATGTGGCAAGATTCAATTCTCTATATAGGACTGCTATTAGTTTTCTTTTATTGTATTGCTTTCCGCCCCTTTTTCTTTTAGGTTTTATTGGTGTCTTCGGTACTGGTGTTGCTTGTGGCTTCTGCTGCCTCGCTTTATACTGCTTGATTGTTAACGGCTTAGGTCCAGCTGTCTTGTCCACCGGTATGTATTTTGGAGCTTCTATTGGAAGACCATTTATACATTGAGGGATGTACTCTTCAACGTCATCAAATACATTCAGAAATTTTTCCCAAACTTGGGAAATATTTTTAGATTCCTCAAGTAAAGACATACAAAATTGACGTATGTTGTTTTGGGAGAAAATATAATATAATAATTTTTTTGAGAGAATTTAGATCCTAGAACTTCCCTTTTTTTTTTCTTTTGGCTTGACTTCGATCAGATTCGAGTGGTCAGGATCGCCATG